TTCTCAGCACTAGAGGCCGCGTCCCAGAGCCAGATGGTCTTATTAGTGGAATTGGACGCGACCATCTGCCTGTCAGGTGAGAAGGCCATGGTGTTAACAGAGCTCTGATGGCCCTTAAGGACTTGTATACATGGATCCCAGGACTCTTGCATTGGATATATCTGTTTTAAGAAGTTAAACCACTGATTCTAATAAAATCTCTTACTTAAGCTTTTTCAAGGATAGAAGACAAGGGCAGTACTATATGATTGTAGGGGTGCCTCTTGTATTATTAAAGCATTGGCATTTGCAAATCTTTTGGCCTCTTTAAAGATGGCCTGATGCTGGCTCCAACTTAAGATCCCGTGCTGGAGCTTGCTAATAAGGCTAAGACTTTCCAATCAGTGGAGATGATGTTGCTTAATGAAATCTAATACTTGGTTATCCCATGCTTCAGGCCTTTCCGGGCGTATTAAATTAAGAAAATGGTCTAACCAATATGTGCACTGTATCGCAAATCAAACAGCGGGTGATATTCCTATCTCAGAAAATATTCTGAACTTCACGTCTGCATGCACTGATGATTGAGATAATTCATGTGGTAAAACCTAGGTAAATGCGAATGCATCTTCGGCTTTTGTATGTAACTTAGAATGGTTGTTCGTAGTCGTCCCTATCGTCGTCGCCCCTTTTGTCGTCGTCGCTATCGTCGCTATCGTCATCGTCGGAAGAAACCCCACCATTCTGAATCTTTCGCTTTTCTCTCTCTAGCCATTCATTTGGATATGTCCTTCGATATTCCTCCGGAGATTCCTTTCGAAGCTTTCTCTGTTCTCTTTTTGCAGCTTCCTCTGGATACATCTCTCGATATGACTCTGGACTGTTCTTTCGAAGCTCTCTCTTTAGAGCTTCCTGTGGAAAAAACCTTCGATATGACGCTGGGTCTTTCTTTCGAAGTTCCTTTCGGGCTTTCTTCTCTTCCCTCTCCTGCTCTCGGGCCTTCCTTTCCTGTTCCTGTTTAGCCTTGCGTCTCTTCGCCCGTTCCTCTTCGGCTGCTTTAATAAGAGCTGTATAATAGTCCTTCTCCTCCCCAGTAACTTCATAGCCATTCCACCATTCGGCGTATTCACGCAGGTTATCATAGGGACAGTATGCATCATCCCAAAAGGGCCTAAGTACCATGAACCTGGCATCTGAGTCGCGCGACTTTACATCAATTCCGGACGGCCAAAAATGGTTTTTCCGACTGGGGTCGGGATTCTTGGGGGGATGGTCCTCGAGGTAACCTGAGTAATATCCTCCGGTTTTCAGGAAGAACATATCATTATTCTGGTTGATAGCTAGACACCAGCCCGTGAGCTCATCGCCACTTTGGCCCGAGGGCGCAAATGCATTCCCTAAGCCAAGTCAGCTTTGTGCTACATTCTATGGTTAATTGCCCACTTACAAAGGTAGTAAATTCCATCGCCAAGGGGTCCAAGTTCCTTGCGAAGCGCAACAAGGTCTGCCTCCCCCATTTGATAACTGGCCGTCATTTTGAGGAATGTATAAGCTTGTGTAGATGAAGAAATAAGTTAAGGCTGGGCGAAGTTTGACGATATACGGAGAGGGATGTTTATGCAAGTTTAAAAGGGGGGGTAAGGCCCTATTACTTATATTCTGTTTAAGTTAGCCTGAGGTATTAGCCCCGCTACCTACCTACGTCAAAACAATGAATTTTCAGTGGAGCGAAAATGCTTTCAGCTGAACTCTCGATTGTTTTCAGCTGGAGTTGATAAACGCCAGTTCCCCCCACGATCAGCGGTGGGGGGAAGAGTGATGATCAGAAGCTCCTTCTCGATGGTGGTCCAAATACGTCGGTAGTTATTGGCGAAACGTTTAGTCAAATTGCGCTGAGTATGATAATCCACTAAAACGACAATGGCAGTGTCATCAGCTCTCACCTGATGATGGTGGGCAATCTTTCGTCGTGGAACCTTTTCTAGCTTCTTCAGAAGGTTCTCGGGGCACCCTCCTGTTCTTCTGATTGCCATGATTGATGGGGCGTGATATTTGAAAATTCTATTGGATGACGATATTATCAGCACTCCATCGATACCCTGGACGGCGGACGAATGACAAATTGAGCTGAACGTGCCGCTACTGATCAGCATCTTCAGATGAGAAACGTGGAGCATCCCAACAACTCGCTTGCATCCGTAAGTGGGCCCATAAGAGGTAGAACCCGGAAGTACGGTACCGCAAGCCTCTGTTGGAAGATCCCGATGGAAAGGAATGGGCCCTACCAAGGCTTCGTGAGATACTCACCAACCACTGAACTGTTCCACGCCTTAAATTATCAATTCTTCTTCACATTCAGCACATTTCAAAGTCCACGATCTTGCGCAATCCATTGATGCCCAAAAGCGCAAGCCCCCGAGCCCCACCTGTTCACTGGCTCGCTAAGATCAAGTATGTCCACCCGTCCCGCTTTGTGGAGTCCGTCTCCATTTCCGCCATATAAGTAGGTTTGCCCGGTGATCAATGTTCAGGTTCATAGCGCCAAATAGCCATACTCCTTTCTGCCTATTGTAGTGGATCTCTTCCTTTTGCTCTCTAGTTGTGCTGAGTGCTGGGTCGATATTAACCTACCATGCGCGGAGACTTTGCTTAGCCCATTGGTCTGTGTCAGCTGGTCATGGCTTTGGGGGGAAAATGTCGTTGAAAACCAATCAGTCATTGTCTCAAGATATATAATGGTAGGTTATGAGACACGACGAACGTAATCTTCTTGGAGTCGACTTAGAACCTATCCAATGACACTTGATGCGGTAGCAAAATACAAAAGGAGATGATTCGTTCAACTGACTCGTGTATTTGGATCAGCACATGCAGTAGGTCGCTCTGACCTATTCAACAAATGAGGCAGCAAAGCCAACTCCGCTCCTTCAGCCAAGTAACAAGCCTCAAGTTCAATAAGCTTCATAAACACTCACTCATTGAAATACATTCTTTGTTATTGCCTCAAGGAACTTTCATCTGAAAACACAGGCGATATCCGGAAGGGATAGTTCCCAAGACACTATTTCCCAAGCTCGACTACAGCTCGACTACTTTCATACAGTCACCTTTATCATAAAGAAACTAGAAGGTCCTATGCCTTGGGGCTTGTTGTGAATAGTGTGAAAGGGTGTAATACACCTAGTAATAAAAGATACAATATCGTGAGAGTCGGATTTCACGAATTAAGGATTGTTAATAGATTAACACTGAAGTTCTGTCTGTGCCCTGGGTATCTGAATCTGAGATATAAGCCAGTTTTATATTTTCTCAGCGGACCACTCTGGATTTTGGTCGTCTCTCGACCGTAGATGGGTATTTCATACCAAAAGACTTCTCTGTCACCATCACATGGACTCACTCTACTAGAAATCTTACTATCCAGCCCCAGTCTAAAGGAGTCAGAGAAACTTTTAGATACTTTGGTAGGGTTTTGTTTATAGTTCCCCGCGCGGGGTGGGTGGAAATAAGCCAAAGCAGGAATTCACAAGTCCCCACTTATGATCTGAAAGAGTGCGCGATCTCTTGTGTCGTGCAGCCAGTTCAGCCCCCACTGCTCATAGACTTGTGCTTTCAGCTTTCTGTTGAGAGCTGACCGGGTTGGCCTGAGACGCCCCAGTCTTGGAGTCGTCAAGTCGGTGTTGGTATGGACGTCTCGTCCTTGTATTCCGCACGAGCCTCCATCCTGTAGCCTCCTTTGCAGCCTTATCTACGATTTCATTGCCCTCAATTCCCTGACGGCCCGAGATCCAGCGTATGACCACATGGACTCCTCGTGTCCGAAGTGTATCCCATTCCTTGGCAATCATGCTGATGGCCTGCTGCCCTGTGGCTTGGGGTCCATCTATCGCCTGGATGGCGGTCTGGCTGTCCGAGAAGATCGTCACCTCCCGGCCGCCCTGGAGTCGACCCATCTCCACCGCCATGTGAATACCCACGAACTCCGCCAGGAAGACACTTGCTTCGGCCTTCCGGCCCAGAACATCTGCTGTGTTTCTTTGGACTGTGTTGGATAGCCGGGGCTCCGACTTTCTCGTTCATTGCGCTCCCGACGATGTAGAAGATGAGTCCGTTATTTCGCCTTGTTACTGCAGCCAGTAGAGGAAGTCACCAATGAGATCATCATTCTTGGAAACACAAAGGTTGTCTGCTGCGACCACGTCTTCAACAACTATGTTACCAGCTAGTCGGTACCAATCACCATGGAGCACGATAAGTGTGGACGAGAAACGTACTCGCTGGCATACTTCGTCAGGGCCAGCAGGGACAAGGTTGTAACATTCATTCAGAAGAAAAGGGTACAACGTAATCCAATCCAGCGTAAATTTCCTATGTATGGGAAAAACCCGCATCCTATCATGGAGATCAGCTCGAGGATTGCTTCCTGCGCAGAGACGAGATGACCCAGATGGGTTCATTCTCCTCGACAGGATAACCAAATAGTCACGTGACAACACAAGGCGTTTGTGATCCGTGTGGAAGATCACGTGCTACGGCAGTCTCATCTTGCGATGCCGAATTCACTCAATTTGAGAGAAATCCGCCAGGTCGCTTACACCAGCGATGAACCCCTTTAGAGCTCCATCTCGACTCGATGGAGCTTGGCACAAGATCGGCCTTGCGTCGGCGTTTCCGGACCTCGATATCGATTATGATGGACGACGGATCACAGCGAAGTGCAAAGCTTTTCGGATCCCGAACTCCAACCCAAACGGGAGTCAAGAGGCCGGGTGTCCAGTGGAAGCGGACATTGACCTACCAGGGGACTTGAAGGATCAGGTCCTTGTGTTCAGGTATAAGGGAAAATTTCATGCCATTGATCACGTGAGTGAGACGGAGACAGATACGCAGAATCACGCTGACTGGTCCAGCAATGCCCTCACTCGTCGTTCCCACTGTCACAGGGGAGCCTCTTTGACATTGAAGACTTTGGCGTCGTGCTCAGCGCCGGTATCACATGCCCCAAGCACGGCTGGTCCTTTGACCTCTTCTCTGGACAGTCGGACCGTGGCAACTACAAGCTCAAGGTTTGGGAGGTGCAGCTGCGTGACCCTCCCGCATCGACTGATGGGGCTTCTGGGAATACCGACAAGGAGGTGTGGGTAAGGCGGAAGCAACGAATCGGCTAGGTGAATGTTTCAGACCCGAGCAGGATCGACCTGAGCATTGCGTATCTCCTACTGGTCTCCCCGCTGCAATCAACTCGACGTGAACAGCAGTGTCATGCATCTATCGCAGGAAAGAACTGCTGCTCTTTCTATTTGCGCTTATACTGAAAGGCTACCTGTCGTGAAGAGCACCTTGACCATTGCCATATATTTACGGTCTGTGGCAATCCCGCGCATGTCATTCCACATCACACCGTGCATGCCACTAGTGCTACTCTTCTGTGGCTGTCTGAGTAGGTAGTCGTGGCTGCACCGGTTCACTCACAGGAAAATAGACCGGATAGAGATGATGGAGGAATGAGTATATCCAAGCACTGACTTAAGCGCTCGTGTAACCATATATATTAGGTGCCAAGGACGACGAAGAACATAGGGAAAGATTCTTGCATTTTATCACTAGCTCCAGAATAAGAGAGCACCGTCCTGCACTGATTTGCTGCCTAGTGTGCTTGGATCAACGAACTGGACTCGTAGGACTCCGGGCAGGATCTAGAGCAGGACCTATGAGCCGAGAAGCTCTCCTGGAATGATGGGCTTCCTTGGACCAGAGCTCTCGCAATATCAGTATTTGCATCTTCTTTTCACTGTTGCAGACTCATGCAACTTGTATCTTCCTGTGCGCAATTTTAGTGGTGGAGAACGCAGTTTGGCTATGTTGGAACCGCACAATTTCGTCGACTATATACAGAGTAACCGTTGGCGACGGCGAAAAGACCATGGTTGTGTGTTTGGCGTTTACTTTCAGAAGCATGGACCCCCGAGGATGAACTGGGGAAGACAGTCATAGCCGAGAATTTTTCGCATTGTCGATCTGTCCCAGGCAGTTACAAAACGCTATGTATGATGGCCCGGCGATCGATCGAGAACTTGTTGTACCCTGAGGAAGAATGAATCCTCTGCATCCCAGGGGATTCGTTGCCAAGCTGACGGCCAGAGTCATCGAAGAGCAACCATCTCATGAAATCAGAACTCGGAAAGACTGTTGTCAAGAATGATGCGCTACTTGCCTGGTTCACTCGCATCGTCCCATCGGTCGCCAACCCGTCAGAGAGCCGGACCACTGGTGGTCATGGACTCTTTCGACGTCCGCCCATACTCTCTCCCCTCCTACATGGCCTGGGTATTCCACACTGGCTTGTAGTGTTTACAATATCCCCACACTAATCTTACATTTCTTGGCCTAACATGTCAACTGGTCAGCAATAGGATATTAATGGATCCAGACAGCTGCATTGAAGCCGGACATTGTACCAGGTTACATCATCAAGGCATACGGTTCTCTCAACCGCAACGGCAGCTGCCATCCATTCGTATATTCAAGTCGAGCATGATAAGCAACAAGTTCCAGGGATTATCACACAGAATATAGGATCCTGGAGTCAACTGCTATGGCCATTCCTAAGTGTGTTAATGATGCAAATATCCATGCACATAATGTGATTAATCCAAATCACTCTCTCATGGTATTTGGACCTCCTATTGAGAACAACATCCCTCCTGCCCTTACCATCACTATTTCAGTACATCCAAGGGCATTAATGGGCCACCAACATCATCCTATTCCGTGCCAATGAGAAGTAAAAGAGGGAGGCAACGCACAGAACACAGGACGCATGAGTTAATGGCAGGAATATCTCCCCAGAATTCAACCCAGTCAACCAAGAAAGGGATTGAAAAAGGGCAGTTAAAGATGGTTATGACTGTTATCAACTCAAGCAGCGAAGACAGAGTATATACGGCCCCTATGAACCGAGAAGCACCGTAACACATATCATCTTATACAACTTCCTATGCTGCAGGTTTCGGCACTGCCGACTCTCGAAGGCGACTAAGTCGGATTGAGCGAGTCTCAGCCCGGTCTGCGCCAATCGAGACATGAAACCAGATTCAGGCAGTGGCACTTCATGCGGAGGCCGCCTCGCATGGAGCCTAATAGGAAAAGAGGAGAAAGAAAAACATACAACAGCATAACAGCCGGGATTCGCTGCTGGTCAGCCACCAACCTACTAACCGGCGCCGATTTGGGCCAAACAAAATACTTCATAGTTTGTTGGCGATGTCCTACAGTGTAGCTATGCTAAATATGGCAGCGACTTCCTCGTTGGGGCCTTGGGGGCCGGGCGGGGCGTACGGGACCCCGCAGCGGCGCCTGGAGGCTGGGGCCGACAAGTTCTTGTTTCAGATAGTGGGGGTATGCCAAGTTAGATGAGGTCACTGCATCCCTACTTTTGGATTTGTAGTATAAAACGTATCTTGCCCGTTCTCACTGCTACCTGTCACGCCAAATATCACCCTGGAAGACACGAAATAAATTCCTTACCATGACACGCACCTTGTTATTTTGTGTTGCGGAGGAGGCCAAGCCTGTAAGTCCATCTGTGATTGATCAGGGACACGTTGTTGGCAGTCTGTCGGACTGGGCTGGAAGATTTCAACTGTATATTAGTAACAAGACGATGCTGACTTTGGTTATCAGTTCATACCTAAGGCCATGCGCGAATTTAGTACAGAGAAGGACGCCCCTCCTCTGTACTATCTTGTTGAATCGAATATCTGCCCGGACAAGCGAGAGGGGTTCAGAATTGAATTACAAGACGGCGAGACTTTCGATTCGGATTTCATCAACGCTTCTAAAGAGCAATGCCAAAATTGGGCACTAGACAAGTGGTACCAAGCTAAAGTTAAATTTATTGAACCGAATGTCATTGCTATCGCAGATGAGCGAAGCGCTCGAGACGGAACTCTACTTATGAGCTTCTACTACCCGGAAGTTAGCCCGGAAGAGCCTACTTTCGAATTTGACGGATGGGGACCTCTCCCTCCAAGGGCCAACACCTGGTACGACTTCAGGATTGATCATCGTGCAGCTGACGAGTTCCATGGCTCTCTTATGTGGGCCTCACGGGAGTCTGCCTATCCGATCTACTTTGGATGCCCAGAGAAATTTACGGATGAAACTGGCATCTTCGACGTGTTTAAAGCGGTCAAATGTATGAATGACGAAGACAGTGAAGCGGACGAATAGAGCTCTAGCACCTTTTCTGATACACGAACTTGTAACGTTTGTGATTCCAGTACGACGAATGCATTATCCTTCAAATTATTCTCGATAGTCACTTGTACCGTTCGCCTGTTATTTCTACACTGTTTGCTAGGCGCACAGCACGTAGATGCCATGACCTTAGAGGGTCAGCTACATGATACACGTTATCACTCTGATTTTTGACACATCCTGCACGCTGCGAAGGACAGAAGTGTCGAGCAGTCCTACTACGGATGTGGCCCCCAACTGTTGGAGCCCGCAAATGTAGAAACCCGTCGGTGAGCTCAACCATAAAGGAACTCGAATCAGAAAGGGGCAAGCCATCACATCATCCAACAGAGATTCACGATCTGAGGTCTGTACCAGTCCACCTAGTCAGTAGTGGCCAACGAACTTCGGTGGCGCACTTGCGTTCCTAGTGGCTATATATTGGAAGAAGGAAACTCAGGTGCATCAATATTTGAGGATCATAGTTTTGAAGCTTCATCTTATACCTTTGTGTCAAGGTTTATTGAGATTATCTAGCTATATCTCCACTAATCGGGGGACATACCCAGGGATGTAAGTCGATTTGACGAGGAGCTGCCAGACTACTGTTGAGGTTGTTAGGCGTGAATTCATGAGGTCCATAAACGATGTATATTCAAGATACTGGACTAAGCCAAATAAACGAAAACAATACAAGACCAGGCACACGCGCAAAAGTGAAAAGAGTCATATGTGCATACTTTCTCCGGCGATTCAACTTTAGAACCTTCACATTAACAATGGGTTCCACGGTTTGACACGCAAACGTTGGTACACTTATTGTGAACCAACACCGTACTAGTCTTGCCTGAAATCCCATTCTGAGTGCATTGGCTCAATACTGTGCATAGTTAGTATGGTTCAAATTCATATTATGAAGCTAAAAAAAAGAACCGTGGACTTACTCGCACTGGCATAGGGAGCTAGGTCGCCTTTCTTGAGGCCAGGGATCGGATTGTGCCACGAGACGCAGCAGAACGTGTTTTTCCCGGAGTCACCTTGGTAGCAGATCTGGCGTGGTCTCTCAGGGATAGCAACATCCGAGTTGTCCCAAAGATCAGACACGAGAGCGTTGCAGTTGGCGTTACGTGCCCCATTTGAAGAATCGCACACGGGCGCTTTGCTGGTGAACCCGCAGCTGCGTTGTTCGAGGCCGTTTGCCTCAGATTCGTCCGTCTGAGCGCCGTCTTGAGGACCATAGTAGATAAGAGTGCCGCCGCTTTTCCCGGTCTCGCGGTAGTGCTCAACCCAACCTCTGGCTGCGTTCTGCTCCGGAACGGGAGAGGCAATGACGCCAAGGGCCAAGACAGAGACAAGCATAAGGATCGTGTTGTTGAAATGCATATTGGATATAAAATGTGATTGCGTTTGAGCTTTGAGCTTTCGGGGGATTGTGTATTGAAGATTGTTTGAAATGATTAAGAGCAATATCTGCGACCTCAGGCCTCTTTATACCCTCAAGCCCGTGCCTTGAAAATGATGCTCGAGGGGTACGCTGGACGTACGTATGACTCGATCCCTTTGGTCTCCGTCTCAAGGCTGATTGATTGGCTTTCCAACAGAGAGTGCGGGTTACTTCTTCGATAGCATACCAACATAAAACAACAAGAAATTCCATGTTTAGTACTTCGCCCATATCAGCGACAGGGTCCCGGCGCGATGGACCTTTTGGCGGGATATCTGGGGCTACACTAACTATAACCAGTAAATGCAAGCTTCCTATCATATTCTGAATAAGAGGTTGGGACTCGCCGAAGGAGTATGATGGCATGGGCAGTACTCTATATTATCCACTGTTGGCAAAGAGGAACATGGCGCGACAGATCTTCGCGGGCCGCCCCCAACCAACGTATAGTCAATTAAAATTGTTGCTCCGCGGCCCAATAGAGGTATTTGAACGCATCAACATAATTTAATCGCTTCCAATGCGAGCATGGTTGCGAAGAGCTCGAATGTGCTATCAGAGCTCATCAACTACGATTGTGCCTCAGAACGAGGGATTCCGCCTCGCCCTGGCCCCAAGGATTGCCGTCTGGCACCAAGGGGTCCCCTTACTCGTCTCTGATGCTCGCAGTAGCCTGTAGTTTAAGTGAAACCCCAACCAACACATAACTAGTTTACTAGTACTATTAGGCTCAGTCACCAACTCGTGCGACGCAGTGCATCGGATCCTACGATTTCCGCGGCCTATGCTTCGTTCTCAATATCTCCACCTGCCAGGTTTTACGCCTGCGCAAGGCAGGCAGCCCCCAAGAAATGAAACAGAACCCATCATCTACTTTATGGGAAAGGCTTTCCGAAGCGAAGATTAAGCAGAAGAGGAACTTATTTAAAGGGCGCCAGAGAAGATAGATCAGGAGGCATAACATCAGAAAGCGCTATCAAAAACATTTTGTCCTTCTTTTATCCGAACTCTGCCCAAAGACAAACCCACCATTGAATATGCTGTTCAAATATCTCATCGGCCAACCCTGTCTGCTCTCTCTCTTCTGCTCTCCAGCCTTAGCGGCTCCAGTCGATAACCTTGCGGACGACGCAGCGCTGATTACCCGAGCTGATAGGGGCTCAGTCAAAAGTAACCCAAAAGACGCGACATTTGACGTTACTGGATGGAAAGATATTTCCGAAGAGGATTGCTATGTGATGCTCTGTCTCAAGGGGGGAGAAAGAACATGGTGTGTACTATTATAAGTGCCCAGCTACCGTCCCAGTTACTAACAACTCATAGGCAAAGAATCGACACGCCTGGTTTGAACGAGGTCAATTACAAAGAGTCGGGAGCAAAGGCGGTGCCTTTCCGTAAGGATCAGGTGCCCAAACGTCATACTGGGCAAATAAATCCGAACCCTGGGGTGAAATCGGAGACCAATAGTGCAGAAGAGTTCCCATGGGAGAGTATGGCACAAGGGGGCTCCGGGGCCAATTTGCTCCCTGCCACGAGGTATCAACAAAATCGTATGTTGCACCATGGCTTGCGTCAATGAACTGCTCTAACAATTAGAACAGAACAAGGCAATGCTATCAAGACTGGCTTCCGGAGAAGCGAAGTCAACCTCGGAGAATGGTTCAGAATCACATTCACGGGCGACTTAGGCCCAATCTGCCAGGCGTTACAAAGAGACCCTCCAGACACGAGTATTTGCAAGAATCCTGAGGAGTCCTTGTTTGGCAAGAAAATAAACCTCAACAACTGGGTCTGGTACATGGCTAAGGTTGGAGGAAGTCTTGTGTACTATCATGCGGCTGGTGACTCTAAAGGTAAAGTTGGGAAGCGAACGATTCCCATAGAGACGCCTACCCTTCACTCCGAAGGATACATGTTTGTCGAGGAGCGTTCTGAAGTTGTTAAAAATGGCGATCTTACTCCCATCATAAGCGTGGATGAGGATTTCGAGAACGGCGAGCTCACCGAAGCAGACTTGGAGATCATCAAGCCATGAAGCCAGTCAATAACTCGCTGAGAATACTCTGCAGTTTCCCTGTGGTTCTAGGTCGCTCCCAGTCGTTATTAGCTCTGAACGAGGGGCTATTCAGTACTCTCTCAGCCTGACCTGTAGGAATTTGTGGCATGTCTCGTTTTCTCTCCTTTTGTATCTTGCTGGTACTCTCTGGTAAAACAGCAATTCACTAAGCTTATGCAGCTCATTAACTCTTCTCTGCTTTTTCTCTTTAAATAGCACCGAGATTTTATCACGTATATGGTTGATTTCCGTACAGGATCACACCTTCTTGAGAATGAGTGTCTCGAAGGAAAGAAAACAAGTGATGGACAACTAGGTCGAGTGCCCTGTTTAGCTTCACAAAAATCCTACTGGGTTGTCTAGCTCATCCGCGCTCTGGTCTCTGGAGCACACATCACCCAAATCAACCACACTCACCTTGCACCTTAGCGATGCTCACCCATGAAGCAGCTACTTCCGAACGGCTCAATCTCCGGTCGGCCGCGTTCAACAGGTAGCTTAAGTACGGCTGAGCGGACGGAGCGGACGGGAAGCCCTGTTTTCCACACCCTGTAGTCGTATGTACTTGATCCTCCATGGGTAGCGGATAATAGAGAGAGAGATTTGTTGTTGAGTTCACCAAAATTGCTGTGCAAAGTGAGTGGTGACAAGACTCCCGCTGCAGACTCGACCTGCCACGGTCTGGCTGGGAGTGCCGAGGTATTCAAGGAGACTCAATTCCCGGCTGCTCTGAATATCCTGTTATCCGCAGGCTTGCAAAGTGTTAAGGCCTAGAAGGTTTGGGGACTGTGCTTGATGTATGATGCAGTACTTAACAGAGTAACACTTTCTCAATCATCCTCCCGCGGTGGATGGAAGGTAACGGACACCAACGGTAGGAACCAGGGTCTAGCATACTAGTGGATGCTAGTTTTCTAGCGGCATATATCCGAACCAGTAACGTGCCTTATTACAAGTTCCCTGTTCTCCACTTCCTTATATAGGGTGGTATCAATATCGACTATGGCTCAGTTCACAGCGACCGCGGCCACCGCGGCCCGCGGCGACCCATGCCGGCATCATATGCACAGATGAGGCAGTGCAGCAGTTTAGAGGCAGTGTCAGAGAGATCTCGATTACATTCTTACCAAAGAAGTCATTAGATATGCATTTACATGCTTGGTGGTCAAATACATCTACTGGCTCATCATGAGTCATCATGACGCGAGATGATTTAAATATCCATCCCTGACCAACATAAAAGAGCTCCTGCTCGTATCTTCAGATTCGAACCTCACGCACATGAAATCAACCACAAACCCAATGGCGCAAGACTCCAACCACGCAATCGTTTTCGGAGCAGCCGGATTACTGGGCTGGTCCGCAGTGAATCAACTTCTCTCCGGATACCCTACTTCCCGCTCATTTTCCCGAGTCACAGCCGTGCTCAATCGTTCTGTGCCAGAAGCGGAACTCCACTGGCCGTCGGAAGGTCCAGATAGACCACAGCTACAGATTGTCTCGGGAATTGATCTCCTCCAAGGAACGGGAGACGACCTGGCACAGCAATTGAAGGAGAAGGTCAACGGAGTAGAGCAGATAACCCATGTTTTCTACTTTGGTATGTCGGCTATACGGTATACACGCCTTTTGTCGTTTGCTTGATCCCTAACTCTTGCCAGTGTTCGCCTCCCTCAATGAGGATCCCATCAAAGAGTGCGCACAAAACTGCGGCATGATGCAGAGACTCGTGGATGCCCTTAACACAGTAGCACCAAACCTGCAAACCTTTGTCTATTCCGGTGGCACCAGAGTAAGCACGTCTGCAGCCTGTTCAGTACTCTTTTGATAACAGTTTTCAGGGCTACGGTATCTACATACCGGGCGGCATATTCCAACCACCCCTCGTGGAATCCATGGCCGATAACCTCCCAGACGATTACGCCAGGACAGTTGCTTACCCTTGGTTCCGAAAAATCCTCACAGAGTCCAGCAAAGGACGCAGTTGGACCTGGACCGAGGTCTGTCCTGACGCCGTCGTTGGGTTTACCCCGAACGGCTCTGCGTTTTCTCTGACGCTCCACTGGGCGCAATATCTTTCTCTGTACGCTTACAACCATGGAATCCAACCAGATGATACATCCAGTTCAAACAAGGATAAGGTGGAAGTACCCTTCCCTGGAAATGAAGCTGGATATCGATCTCTCTTAACGCCGGTCTCTGAGAAGATTCTCGGTCGAATTGCCATCCATGCAGCCCTCAACCCCGATAAATGCGGTCAGAAAATCATCAACATGGTGGATAACGATCGCCCCGTGAACTTTGCCGAATTATGGCCTGCCATCGCCAACTGGTTCGGGCTCAAGGGAGTAGGACCCTCGGAATCTGGTGACGCTTTGAAGCCGGGAGAGTATGTAACTAAGTTCCGTCATCTGTTCACGGAGAACGGACGACCAAAAGCCGTGACGTGTGGTGTAGGTGCTGGAAGTGCCCAGTTGGATTCCCTGGGATGGTGGTTATCTTTCGATCGTCAATTGAGCTCAGAGAGATTGCGGGGAATAGGGTTCACTGAGCAAAGAGACCCCGTTGATGGCTGGCTGGATGCTTTTGCGCGGTTCAGAAAAGCCGGAATTATCCTTTAAGAAACAGAAAGTACAATACTATGACTCTCAGCCTAGCTATTTCACTCTCTCAGTCCACTGGCCATTCTGGTCAGCTTCCCAGCTTCAACCAGATCGAGGAGAATATGAGCTCCTTCATCAGACCCGGAAGATCAACGCTCCGGATCCGACGATGCTTTTCTCTGGCCTTTGCACGAGCGACATTGGAGATCTGCTGTCCCTTTCAGGCCTTTTGGGTTTTCTCTAGTCTACCGGGCCTGTATGGGATCCAACTTGGACAGCTGCGCCGTTGTTCTCGTCAGGTTTATATGGGATCAGCGCCCAGAGTTAACTAATTAAATTCTCTGCGGCCCATGCTAGTCTTTCTGTCAAGGATTATTGGCTATATCTTATTTCTTGGAGTAGCATTGCAATGATGGTCATTTTACGCAGTAATCACAGGTTCGCAAGTCAGATGCTATACGGAGTACTAGAGCTACTCAGCAGACGTTCTTGACTGCTCACAGCGAATGATCGGGTCGTCGGAGAGGCAGATAGGAGATACCCAAGTAACAGAGACCTGCGCCTTAGATAGGAAGGCAAAGGGATGCAAATGCAAATGTGATTCCAAGAGCGGCCCAGAACCAAGCTGAGGCATAGTTTATAGACACTACTATGTATATCAAGTGTTCATCATTGTCTGCTTATAACCTTGTATTTCATGTAACTGGCCCTTCCATCACCGCTATACTCCAGGGACTGCAACAACTACAAGTGCTTCTTCAGCAACTGCGTGTGATTCAGTAGTCGCAAGTTCACCTCATGATCCCCAAAGGAGCATGTGCTGACAGCATGGATAATGTTTCCAACTGCTAACACAGTGCTGCTTCATGGGTTGTCTTTGGTATCAGAGATGTATATGATTATAATCACATTAATAACGTTGAAGCATCCATTCTGATACGCGACCTGTTATTCTTCACGGAATTAAAAAAGAGATTCACTAAACAGTGTTGGTTTTACCAACGCGATCTCTCCCTATCAATCTTGTTGTTGCAATTTGTTCAAGTAATTATCCTATCCAACTACAATAGCCCGAGAGCTAACTATATTAGTTTGAATTAATCGGTTTTGGCCTGATCCACAGTGTCAAGGAGCTCTACTGGACGAACATGGCTTCACTACCGATTATGAGTGCCACCCAAGGCTCCCCAAGAAGGCAAGTCTGGGCAATGCTTTGGAGTGTACAAGTAATGGCCATGCCGTGGGGGCGCTGTCCTTTCGGATAAATCGGGGCTGCCTCTTCATAAAGGAGATGCGAGATATTACCGATATGAAGACAGACAACATTCTGCTGTGGCGGTGAACTTGATTACCCCTCAGTGAGCGTGGGGAGAGTGAAAGCACCAGCTGGTAAACTTAGTGGTCTCTGGGGGCCAGGAGTTTCAAAAGGCCCGTAAAAAATAGGTTGCCGACTATGGTGTTAGTGTGGCTATGCCACCGTTTCTTCCCCGAGGTCAAAGATTATCTCAAGTTCCCCTTTACTATTTCCGCCTGCCTTGAACGTGCCTACCTTGCCGTTCATGAGGCTGTGCAGTTCTCTCCGCGATCTTGCTGTCTGTCAGTCTTATTCCTCGCGATCATCCACCTTGATCAACTTCCCGTACGGCTGAAGCTTTTGCAGTCTACAGTGTGTTCGATTCCTGATTCATTGCCTAGACTTCTTCCTCGCCCACCAAAGATAACTCCGGCGCCAGCGCAGGCATGCGCCTCCTGAAAACCTCTACCGTCAGCCTGGTAGAATACCCCCCCAGACAAGGTCCCAACATACGCGATCCTTTCACACACCTGGGGGGAAAATGAAGTAATGTTTTCCGAAATAGTGAACAACACGGCCTACACCAACGCCTCATGGTCCAAAATCCAATTAGCCTGTGGGCTGGCCCTCAACGACGGGTTCGCTTACATCTGGGTCGATAATTGCTGCATCGACAAGTCGAGTAGCGCGGAGCTGTCAGAGTCTCTTAACTCCGTGTTCGCTTGGTACAAAGATGCGGCTATCTGTTACGCGTACATGCCTGACGTCTCCGGGTTGTTCACTCGAGAGGACCTCGAAGCTGGGAATGAGTTTGGCAGGAGCAGGTGGTTTACGAGGGGGTTTAAGTTGCAGGAACTTTTGGCTCTGAAGAAGGTAATTTTTTTTTCTTGAATAAGTGGGTCCGAATTGGACTATAGTTTAAATTGTGTGGTGAGAGTGACTTGAACCACAGCTCTCTGTGTGTCTGAGCAGCATGTTGTGGCGTGATACTGCAGTAGGACTTTGATTCTGTACTTAGAAAACTGGGTACTTACGAAGTCTTTGGGAAATGGTAAAGGATAGTGTCTGTTATACATCATAATCAGGCATTTGCATTAAAACTTGAAACCAAATCATGGGGCGATATGCTGAATACTATCCTCACGCCCTTGAAGTAATGGATGACTGCATCAGCATGTTCTCCGTGGCTAGTCTATATCATCAGATAGCTCTAGCTCTCTAGTGGCAGTAGCACTCATATATATGTAGCCGCCAGAGTGGCACATGCCATCAACTCAACCTTGATAACAGAACAGAACCCTTCTCACTCCAACACTCCATACACTTATCACCACAGCGCAATTTGATTTATAACAAATAATTCAAGAAGCAAAAAGGCAGAAATAAAAACATTTCTTGAGTACTGTTCGATACTGACAGCTCTGAGCAATAGAAAAAAAGAATTTTTGTCTGCCATGGCATAGTACTGATCTATGTGGGTTATAAACATGTAAATTCTGAAGGTAGGCGTGAAACAGAAGTTGTGGCTCTGTGAGTAGGAATACTACGCTAAAGCATTCTATGATAATAAAAACGTGATAATCTGTCTCAAATTTGGCTTGGTCCTAAGGGTGCTAATCCAAAGTTCCCTACAGATATCCTATCATAATTGGCCGATTCTCCCTCATTCCCAGCATCTATTTCGCTTCGGTGGGTTCGACAATGTAGGCAAGGGGCGTAACGATATTGAAAGCCGGATTCGGGATGGTAAGAAGCGATTTCAGGGTGTCCCAAACCCCAGCGTCACCAGTATAATTGAGCCCCTCTAAATTGGCACGCTTGCCATTGAAAAGCTGCACGAGCTCCTCATGAGTCACATAAAGTGTCAAATCCGCTGAAGGGGTTGCCGGAGCCTCAGGAGCAGACCTAGACTTAGGCCCTAGGTACTCGATGGCATGGCCCGTCAAAGCAGCAGTGCTCAACCTGATATGCCAGCCCTTGTATTCTGGGTCGGTGGCCTTGCCGCCCTTGGGGGGATATTCGACCATCAGGTTAATGGTAAAGGCTTTGTCCCAAGCCTTTGGTCCATCAATTCGGATGGCCATGGTGTCAACCAGCTCGTCTAGACTAAACGCGTACCAAGCCTCGGCCGCCATGGAATTGATAGAACCCTGAACCTCACCTTCCAGCTCCTTCGCACCGGTGAGATAGATATTTCTCCAAGTTGCATTCTCTGCCCCGTAGCCAAGTTTCCGGTATACATTGGCAAGGACCTTCTTGGCGGTTCTATGTTTCGGGTCCGAAAAGACGGCCTGATTGAGAAGAGTAGCCGCAAAACGCAGGTCGTTCTGATTGTCAATATAGCCCTGGGCCAGCTCCACCACCTTGTCGACACCACCCATGCAATCAACATATTTCATAGCTTCAGCCTTCGGGGGATGTTTCCAAAGGTTAGCAGGGTTTCCATCGAACCATCCCATGTATTTGTCGTAAATGGCCTTGACGTTGTGGCTCACCGACCCATAGTAGCCTCTAAGGTCCCAGACATCGCGGAGGGATGGAGGCAGCTCCAACACTTCGGCAATGTCCAAGGGCGTCATTCCGTTATTCAGGTGGCGCAGGGTTTCGTTGTGAAGGTATGCGTAGCAATCGCGCTGTCTCGACATAAATGAGATGATTCTCTTCTCGGGTTTCCCCTTATCGTCATACGTCTCCCAAGTCGGCCAATGGTGACTGGAGAAGACCACCTGGGCTTTATCACCGAACAGGGCAATCGCCTCATCCAGATAGCGCGACCAGAGGCGGGCGTCGCGGACAGGTGCACCACGCAAGGTCTGGAGATTGTGGAGGGTGTGGGTTGCATTCTCAGCCATGCAAAGCGCCTTCAGAGATGGGAAGTAAAAGTTCATCTCGGATGGCGCTTCTGTGCCCGGGGTCAATTGGCATATGAGCTCCATGCCCTCAATCTCCGGCTTCAGCTTGCCATCCTGCTTGACGTAGTGGGTGGGCGCAATGAGCGAAGTTGTTCCCTGTGACAAGGCCAGGCCTAGTCCGGCTCCGATCTGGCCGTGGGGAGCAACATCCAGGGATTCACCGTACATGTAGACCGACCGGCGACTCATAGCATTGCCTGCGTACACATTCTCGCTGACGGCGTGCTCGAGGAATCCCTCCGGCGCATAAATTGGGATATCCTTGCTGGCCGCGTAGGGCATAATGGCCTCTGCTCCTCCGAAATGATCTGCGTGCGAGTGGGTGTAGATTATGGCCTTCACTTTGATGTTCACATCTGGGATGTAGTTCTTCATGTAATTGACGTACAACTCAAAGGCCGCCTTTGCAGTCTCAACGGAAGTCAGGGGGTCAATGACGATGACCTCATTTGAACTCCCGATCTCGACGATTGTCATGTTTGAGAGATCGTATGTGCGGACTTGGTAGATAGCACCTTCCGGGCCGGAAGTGACTTGGAAAAGCCCACCCTCGTAGCACAAGCGTGACTGCCTCCAGAGCGAGGTATTGGCCATGTGCGCAGGAGGCTCAAGTTCCCCAAGGAAGTCATAGGAATCGTAATTCCACACAACGCGAGATTCTTCCCTCTTTGATGGCCTGGACAGGATCACCCCAGCAGGGATAGCTGCAATCTTACCACGAGAGGCATTAATCCAGTCATTTTCGTTGTCAAAGTCTGATCCCATGGTGATTACTTAGGTGGAGTAGAAACCAAACTTTGTAGTGTGTGCAGAGGATCTGTAGAGGATCTGACAAAGTTGATGACATTTTGGGCTGAAGACGGGAGCGGGCGAGGTATTTATGTCTGAAGGCAGCGCCCAGTGTCCCATAGACTTCGAGTCTGTTTCACTAAGTATACCACCATCTCCCGATGGCTTAGCTGAAGAGGGGAACGAACTCGATTGCCACTGGCGAAAGAACTAAGGTGATACCACCTCATGCAGGAGCTTGCATCCACCATCTCGCGATGGCTTAGCTGAACAGGGGAACGAACTTGATTGTCTTTCGTGGCGAAAGAACTAAGGTGATACCACCTCACGCAGCAGCTTGCATCCACCATCTCGCGATGGCTTAGCTGAACAGGGGAACGAACTTGATT